CCTTTATGGGCAAAGTGTCGTGGTTTTTTTATGATAAATCTTTTTTTTTTTTTTTTATAAAAAAGACTGTATTAGACTGAATATTTTCATTTAAATCAGCAGAATCATTTATAAATGAACTGATTCTTTCGAATGGTTCATGTAAGTTAATTGGTCCAAAAACAAGATATCACGTCGTTCAAATTTAATATATAAATAAATAAATGTAATCTATAAATACATTTAAATGAATACATAAATTTGTTTTTTGTTTTGGAAAAAAAAAATTACAATGAGTATTTTAATTTAAATCAGCATAATTAAATAATACCATCATTTATGAATGAACTGATTCATTAAAATGGTTCATTAAATTAACATCGTTCAAATTCAATACGTAAATACATTTAATATATAAATCAATTTGAATAAAAAAGTTTGAAAAAACTGTGTATGAATATTTAAATTTAAATTAATTAAATGCATATTCGGGGGGGGCTGTATTACATTATTATTTAACTGTATTACATATATTTTAATTTAAATCAGGATGAATAAATAGTACCATGGTTTATGAATTGATTCATTCAAATGGTTCATGTAAATGAATTGGTCCAAAAACAAGATATCAAATTCTTCAAATTTAATGTGCATATAAATAAATGGAATATCTAAATACATTTAAATGAATACATAAATTTGTTTTTTGTTTTGGAAAAAAAAAATTACAATGAGTATTTTAATTTAAATCAGCATAATTAAATAATACCATCATTTATGAATGAACTGATTCATTAAAATGGTTCATTAAATTAACATCGTTCAAATTCAATACGTAAATACATTTAATATATAAATCAATTTGAATAAAAAAGTTTGAAAAAACTGTGTATGAATATTTAAATTTAAATTAATTTATGAGTGGATTGAATCATTTGAATGGTTCTTGTAAATGAATTGGTCCAAAAACAAGACATTACCTCCTATTTATGTAAGTTTATTCATGTAAATACATCAATAAATAAAACAAAATCTGTATTACAATGGATATTTTAATTTAAATCAGCATAAATTAATAGGACCATGATTTATAAATCAATTGATTCAATCGAATGGTTCACGACAGACAAGATATCACATCTTTCAAATTTAATATATAAATAAATACATTTAATATATGAATACATTTAAATAAATATGTAAATCAAGTTTAAAAGTTGAGGAAAAATTTATTGCAATTAAAATTTTAATAAAATGAGCATACATAAATAGTGCTGAGATTCAGAGTGAATTGATTCATCCGAAGGATTCATGTAAATGAATTGGTCCAAAAACAAGAAATCACCTTCTTCAATTTTAATATATAAATAATCAAATTTACTATAGAAATAAATGCATATTCGTGGGGAAAAAACTGTATTACAATGAATATTTAAATTTAAATCAGGATGAATAAATAGTACCATGGTTTATGAATTGATTCGTTCAGACGGTTCATGTAAATGAATTGATCCAAAAACAAGATATCGCCTCCTTCAGTAGCTTCAGTGTCATTATCTGCTTTTTATTAGCAATGTGAAGTGAAGCTAACTAGTTTTTCGAAGCGCTAGCTTGACTGTGGTTTACTTTAAATCATGAGTAGCGTGTAGCTTTTTCAAACTCAGTAACTCATGGTTCTTTCCTCCTCCTACAGGAACTACCACGTGTTTTACTATCTGCTGGTGGGTGCGTCGGAGGACGAGCGGCGGGACTTCAGACTCCTGCAGCCAGAAGAATACTTCTACCTCAAACAGGTCCTGCACAAATAAAAATACCCTCTTAACCCTTATTATCAGTGCTCTTGTATCTGGGAAACGTGACGTACAGTCAGAAGTCGTCCGGCAGAGAGGAAGGTCTGGAGGTGGGGCCGCCGGAGGTGCTTTCCACACTCTCAGACCTGCTTAAGGTGAGTGCATTTCTCAAACTTTCCGTCAGGGACGGGATTTCTACTCCAGAAATGCAGATTTCGGTGTTTTCCGAGCTGAAGTATGAGTTTTCAAATACATTAAAAATACATTTTGTAATAAGAATGGAATATGGCTGAATAAAAGCTTGATAGTTTAACATTTGAAAGCAAAGAAATATTGGTATTGTAATTTTACAGTTGTTCTGTAAAATAATTATTTTATAAAATTATTATTATTATGAATATTTTACAGTACAATAATATTTCAATAGTAGTACATTTCTTTTATTATATGGTTTTATTTTATATTAATGTTGTTGTTTTTATTATTACTAACCCCAACCCTATTATTATTATTGAGTATATACTGTACTGTATAATAAAAAATAGTATTATATAAGAATATTTTACAGTACAATAATATTTCAATAGTAGTACATTTCTTTATTGATTTGTATAATTTAAGTAAAATAAAAATATTAAAATAATAATAAAATAAGTATATATATATATATAACTTTTTAATTAATATATGTATATATATGCTGTTTTATTTTATATTATTATTGAATACACTAGTATTATTTCAATAGTAATGTTTCTTTATTGATTTGTTTGAATTTTTATCATTTAAATAAAATACAAATATATAAAAAATAAAATATTATTTTAATAATAATTTATTGTAATAGTAATATATTTCTTGATTGATTTGTTAATTTTTATCATTTAAATAATAAAATAAAATATTTAATATATACACTACCGCTCAAAAGTTTAGGATCAGTAAGACTTGTAATGTTTTTAACGAAGACTCTTCTGCTCATCAAGGCTGCATTTATTTGATCAAAAATACAGAAAAAAAACTGTAATCTTGCAAAATGTTATTACAATATAAAATAATGGTTTCTATTTTAATATACTTTAAAATATAATT